CTTTCAAAAACGCTTCCTGTTATGTCTGGTCACCTGCGAGCCCTCTTTGTTTGCTTTGGGACGCGTTTTTTGAGTGTGACGGGTGTTTTCTGTTTTCGGGGATTTCATTAAGTCAACAAGAACGGAAGTGAGGAAACAGAGGTCAGCTGAATGAGATCCTGGAAACTCTGTAAATAAAATTGCATGAAGAGTGTCCGGTTTTAATTTAATTTACTTTAAGTCATATATCTCTCGCTGGGAGGATCCCGAGGTAATTTCTCATCTCATCCACTGGCGGAGCATTAGAAGGCAAGAAAATAAGGAAGAGGGAAGGGAAGGAAGGAAGGAAAAGAAGAAATGAGGAGGGAAGAAGAAGAAGGAGGAGGTATCCGAGGTTGACAGATGTCTTCACACGGCATATGTTCGGTTTCGAACGAGCTCTATACTGGTAGGAACGGAGTCATTTCCGATCCCCAGCAGCAGCTTTTTAGTTCCAACCTATGGAAAAGAGGAAATCCCTTCAGTTCGTAATACAAAACTTTAGGAAAAAACCCTTTGATGTTTGGGTCGTTTCAAAAATGAATGGGATACATCACGGCAGATTTAACTCGGAACTTTTGTTCTGAAGTTGTTTTATTATGGTAATTGCTGTCTAAACGCCTCAGCTCGCGCTGTGGAAGTTATCACAAGGTGCTGAGTTGCGAGGCGAAAACTCGACAACAAGCGAGACCCGAACCCGTATCTCGCTTTCCCATTACGACCACCGAGGCTACACTTAATGATGAACTGGTTTTCTTGTGGAGAGAGGCAAGGAAATCTTGTGCACAACTTGGGATGTTGCTGTGGAAAGCTATGACAGAGAGTCTCATTCCCTCCCTCCCCCCCCCCCCAGCCAAGCTTGAACTAAAAAGCGATTTTTTTTTCCTTGTGAATTGTGTTTCCCATTACGGTATTCCCAGTTTCGGTCACACGGTTCCCCTTTAGTTTAGCTTGGATTTATGTGGGTCATAGCGGAGCTATAGAAGGTTAGTAAATATGAATTTGAGTCTCTTATTCGTCAATTTAGTTGAAGGTGTAAGGCCTCGCAACACAAGGCTCAGATGGAAGGAGTTAGGGGGGAAAATGAGTTTGACAGAGTTTGACAGAGGACTAAAAATTCGAAAGAAGCCTGTTAAACAAGCACCTCATCCTGAGTGCTGCTGTCCATCCATGAATAAGGCCCCTCTAGCTGATTGTTCCCTCCGCGCTTTTTCTCTTTGTTGAGAATCAAAGGTTTTCCTGCTGCGCGCCCTTGATTGAATTCTTCTGACCAAAAACTCTGTTATTGCATTGGTAATCGGGTTTTTAGCGGATAGAGAAGGTCCCAGAGATAGAGCGCACTAATGAACTTTTATTTTATCTCACAATCAGACAATAACCCTAAATTGGTTGTGCACCAGCGGCTAATATAGCTGCCAGCCGACAGCTCAATGAGGCTGTCGCCAGTTACGACATTCGGGGAGTGTAACACTTACTGCGCGAAAGCTGCAGGTGGACAAATGAGTGCGTCAGACCTGATTTCATTATCCCCACACTACCTCCTTCAATATGAAGGTTAGCGTTGGTGTACGAAGCTGCCAGCTGTGCTAATGTCAAATGAGCCGTCCAGCCGTCATATTCTGTTGAATCATATCTTGGCCATTTGCCAATAGCGTCCGAAAATGTTTTGTTTTGAATTTTCCCAAATGTCATGTTCTCCCATTGATGAGGTGCATATGTGAGCGCGATTTTCACAGCACTTTGCGCTTCTGCGGCTCACTATCGATTTTCCTTCATCTATGGCTGCTTTCCACAGCAGTAATCGCAGTAAGCCGATGCTCTTGTTCACCTTTTTAGGTCGATCCTTTCTTACTTATTATATACTTACTTATTTCTCTACTAGTGAAACTCAGCATGAAGTTTGAATGCGAACGCCATATTTTCAACTTCGTAACTCTTTTTATATGCCAAACTCTTCACATCCCAATTGTAGGGCCTGAAGATATTCTGATTGTCTTTTGTGTATTCGCTCTTTTACACGAACCAAAGGGTTTCATATACTTGTTGCCCAGCTTCATAGCTGTTCAGTACAAGGGTCCGTCTCCGGCAAGCCTTACATTATTTAATCCATTGGTCTTCTATGGTGCATGATCTGTCATCTTTGATTTCCCTTTTTCTAACCTGGAATTAGGGAAAAGTTTCCGAAGGAAAGAAGGTACTTAATGGGTAATTTCGGGCTAGGGAAAAGTCTTCTAGTGATGGAAGGCTCCAGATGAGCTCCTTATGCAGAAATCAGGCCATCTTAACGCGGAATGCCGTTTCATTCCGGAGAACTTGGCTTGCCTAGCAGGAGTTCCCTCCCCTTCAGGCTTAGCCACTAGTTCTCATTATGGCAATGTCAGCGTTCCACAATGAGTCCTCAAAATTGCTCGCCCCCCCCCGCTCACCAATAGAAAGGTTCAAGATAGTCCAGATTTTATCTTTCCTGCTTGTTTCAGAAACAGTCTGAATGAAAGGAATCTATTTCTTGAAAGTTCTACATTAGAAGCCAGACGGTTCCTCCCTCCACACTCAGCCAGTAGTACTTTTTACGGCAGTCCCAGCTGTCCACACTGAGTCCTTCGAGTGCACCTTCCCCCCTCCCAACAAACTTGCCTTAATCTAAAGTTTCAAGAAGGAGGCCAAGGAAAAGCAGGTTATGAACTATGTAAGATCAAACTTACCTGAACTCATATTTGGGTGAAATGTTTCCACAAAGTCTTTTAACCTTGTGCGCTCTGAAGAATGCCATTGCGGAAACCTCTGTCCAACATGTGGTTTCTATCCACAAAACAAGTTATTACTGTCATACCGAGATCATTAGAAACTCGCTTATGCATTATGCTAATATATTACAGTTTAAGGTTGAATTGATATAATGAGCAATGAAGAGGTAAGTTACGTGAGATTGGTGTGATTGTTGTTCTAGGAAGACGTTGATTTGAGACTCGCTGTTTTTACGCGCACTTGTGAAGAGGAGGGTGTGAGTCCCTCCAAAAGCTGGAGAGAGCTCAGTGGATGGCCGTTTTCGTTTCCGTTTACCAGTTCGATTATTGACTGTGACAGGTTGCCAGTGCTCGGGAAAAACGTGGTAATCTCAGCTGCAACGTCTGGTGCTGTATTTTGCTTAATTTGCATGGTGATGCAGTCGGTATAACTTGTAAACTGGTTGTAACGTATGAGTAGTTTTCCAGAAGGATGCCTATCCTCGTTTCACAAAGAACAGTGACACACCTGTTGGCGCGAGTACGGTGCCATCCAGACTAGATGAGATTCGAGATAATCGTAGGCTGAACCGAGGAGATAAGGTGAGGGTCATTCATCTACTTTTAAATACTTTATTCTTTGCGATTCTTTTTCAATGGTAGTACTAGTTTCTGATTTGTGAGAACTTCATTAATGGTTGCCAACTGCATTTATTGTGGTTGCCGCGAACCGAGAGAGCTTTGTCAATACTCCACCCTCACTACAAACTCCACGGTGACCTCAAAGGTCATCGGGGCTTAGGTAAAAGTAGTGAAAAGCTTATTACCATACTGTGAGTTATAATATAACATAAAAATTTTGCACTAAATGATTTTCAGTACTTCTTCATGGAAGCGTTGTTGAAACTCATTTATGCAACTTTTACTGGATAGCTTTGGCTGTTGCAACAGCTTCTCCAGATCTTAAATTCAAACATAAGTAGAACACTAATTCTTTTCATTGTTCAAGTTGGTCGAAAGTAGTAACCAGGGTTGCTAACAGTAGCTCTGTTAAGTTCTGTAATACGATTCCCATGACAGCTACGAATGTCAGCACCACCACCCTAAGTGAACGACCTACCGCAGTGACACCCCCAGAGCAACTAAAAACACTTAACGACAAACCCCGCGATTGCATATAGTGGATAACGGCGCTCAATTACGAACGTATAGTCGATAAATGTCCCTCCAGGGAAGAAAAAAAAGCGAAAAAAAAAACGTGGAAGGCACCCTAAGTAAGGACCCCTGGTAGCTTCACTGTGCAAGTTCTCCGCACCCTGCTCGTTTTATGCCAGTAAAGGGATCTTTTGCCGCTCATGGCTCACTAATCGTTTTTTTTCCGCATCATCCAATGCTAATAGTGAAAAAAAACGAAAACCCGGCGCAGAAAGTAGTCCTTGAGTTTTGGTAGGCGGGACAACCAGGAAGGCGTCAGAACTGCCACTTATGAGGGCCGTAGCGCCTTAGTTACTCACTAATGCGCTATGGCCCCGTAAAGCCGCGAAATGGGATAGTCTTGGAGAGTGAGGACCAAAATATTTTATGCGAGGGAGGGTGCCTATGAAGTGCTTCAGCGTGGAGGCTGTCTTTAATTCTGGTTGGTGTGAGACCGAAACATTCAAGAGTTTTGTTAATACTCCACCCTCACTACAAACTCCACGGTGACCACAAAGGTCATCGAGGCTTAGCTAAAGGTGGTGAAAATCTATTACCATGTTGGGAATTGTATTTTAATTCATAAATGTGCTCGATGATTTCTGTAGTGATTCAGGCCGTGTTCTAAACGCTGCGCTTGCTTTCCTTTCCATTCTGGGCGCATTCATTCACGTACATGAGTGGCTTCCGTATTGCTGTGCTTGTGTTTGACAACGTTGTCAACGTTTGTTGGTGGAGCCTCTTGATTCCGGTTCACCTCTACCGACAATTTCCGGCGTACACCAGCTTTTCCTGGAGGCGGGAACATTCACCCTCTCGCTTGCTCTTTCGCGTCGTTAGGCTCCACCTCGGGGCGTTGTTTGTTGTTCCTAACCGGGTTCCACCCCTCCACCTCCGACCCCTATTTACTCTACTTAGTCTGTCGAATCTCGACGCTACCGACTGGGAGGCACCTGTGCTATCTGCCCATATCTGATCAATCGATTCTCACCCTCATATCCAATTATTGCGCCCATTATTACGCTGTTCTCAACGAACGAAGTTGATTCATTTGACCTGATCACTATGGAGTACACACCACCAAAACTTGCCAATCTTCACTACAGTAGTATCGACTCTTCTTCTTCTGACTCTTCTTCAGCTGATTCTGGATATTCTGATTCTTCTGCAGCGTCCGATTACTGGCAAGAGGTTGTTTTGTCTCACGATGTAAGTACTGGTTTTCCTTCAGAGATTTTTATTTTGGCGTTTAGACGTTCTTCGGGGAAAGCCAATATAATTTGTTATCAATGGAAATGTAACCCTTCTGGTGTGGCCCCAGAATTGCTAGCGCTACGGCGGAAACCATGTACTGCTGGTCAGAACATTGACTACCGTATACTGTTTTCTATTTTGATAGCAGTTGCAAATCCAGGTCACGTGTTATGTGTAACTGGTTGAAGGAGTGTTTTGAATCCAAAATTTACATGTGATTGAAGCACACTTGAAAGGTCCACCAATTTTGACCCTAGGGAAACTATGAGGTCAAGAGGTCCAGTGTTTAATTGGTTTCATTGGTTTCCGACCTGTATTATCGAAAAAATTGACACATTCTGGATTTTATCACTTCTAGCTTCTAGAATATTTGTTCGAAAGCAAGCAAATAAATTAACAAGTAATGCGCCCATGTTTCTAGGCATACTTTGGCGCAGTCCGGCGAGGTATGGGGGGGGCGTTCTGCATTTTCGCTGCTTCCCTTAGTGAATTTCTGGAAATCCTGTGAAGCTGTGAAGCCATGAATTTATTCCGGTCGAAGTTCTTGGAAACTACTTGTCAACTCTGACAAGGTAACACGACAACGGGAAGTGGCAGAAGTGCGAAAGTCCCTCCCCTCTTGTCTAGCTGCGCCCATATTTTATCTTTAAAGTTACTTTTTTCGTGCATAACCTGGGAGAACTTTAATGAAACTGCCAAAAGTGTTTTACTGGTACTTTTACAACACTTTTTTTCGTGCTGTAATCAGTGATAATGATTCATCACCGAGGCGTTACTTGATTCGTTTCAAGATGTTACCGAATTAGTTGCAGTAAGTAATCGTTTCCGCCCGACAACACTGCTATCAGGTCCACTCAGATTGTTTGCATAAAGTATTCAGTAACTTGTTATTACATTTCTTATCTAGACGACCTCAGTTTCGAAATATCGGCAGCATGTTTATCTAGAAAACGCTGGAACTATAGCGATTAAGCGAAATATTTGTTGTTCTTCTGTCGTCTAAACCAGCTCAGCGCTTATTTGCTTTTGAAGGTGTCGAGGCGCACTTGAGGGTTCTATGCGCCTCGAGTGAGTTCACTGATATGAGGTCGAGAAAGTTCAAGAACGAATGAGAACGTCTAGTGTTTTAGGTAAAGAAGATAGTACGAAAAACCGAATGGCCGGTTCGGCATGAAGTACGGCGAGAGTTATGGCGAGTGCTGTGTCATAGCAAAGACTTCGACAGCAGCAAAGCGCTCTATCGTACCGAACTTGAAGAAACTGTTAGGAGCGGAAGTAAGTACATTATGTTGTTTTTAATGGTTTCTGAATGTCATGTGTCTTCCGTTGAGACTCAGAATAGCAGTAACTCTCAGGGTGGGAAAGTTGAATGAGTGCTTTGAAACGAGGGGAAATTCTCAAGGGTTGGAAAAATGTCAAACTCTGACTCTGACTCCTGAGCTCTAAGCAGTAGGTAGGTCTCTGTTCGGCAGAAATGAAGATTTCAGCACCCTAGGGGAGTTTTTCTCTCATGTTCAATGAGTGCTTCGGAGCAATGGCACAAAATGATTGAATCCTAAATGCAAGTTAACGGGGGTGCGAGAGGGGGGGGGGTGATGTATTCGCCCTGGAGGGAGTGGAGTCGCACTTAACCTGGCGAAAAGTTCGATTGTTGACTTCTCCCACTCTCCCACGCTATGGATCTCTCCTCTTGTAAATGATATAGCTCTACTATTTGTGATAAGTGATCAGTGGTGTTTGCCGAGCCTCCCCCGCTCGACGGATTTTAAGGGTGCATAGTGTCGTATCAAAAGTTGTAGGCGAATTCTTGGTATAATGCGCCATGTTCAGAACTTTTGTGCTGATTTCCTATTAGTTTCCGGCATCACTACTAGTTTTCTTTGTTTCTTTGGTACAGGAGATGTAGTAAAAAAATGCATATTGGTGCTTTCTTTAATGAGATTACTACTTAAGATGATGTCAGTTGTTTAAGTTTCCCTAGCGGTAAAGCCATTGATGGCGGGTCAGCATGGTGTTTTGTTACTGCACTAGTTTACCTAAGCTTCATGCCAGAGATGGAGAGGGCGTGACTGCGTACATCATTCGAACATGACCTGAGAAGCGTTTCTCGTGGGGCTACTTCCGTTTGAGATAACTGTCACCATGTCTTGTGCTGGACGAGACATTATTACATCTGTTACAAAACAAAAATTTGTGCTCAGAAGTGCAGCCGTCACCACGTGAAAATTACGTGCGAAGCCACGCCCTCCCCGTCTTTGGAATACGGGGTATACAATAATTGGGTGATCAATGAACTGATGCCCTCTGGTCCTCAATATGTCCTAGAAAGTATCTTTTTATTCATAGTTGTGCAGTCTACATATATTATTTATTTATTATTTACTTATGACATTTTGGATAGGTTTTCCAATGGTTATTTTCGAATGGCAATGCTGCAGTGTGTCAAGTCAACTAGGAAATGGCTGCTACACTTCACATCCCTACCACGGGGAGGGCGTGGCTGCGTACTTTATTCGAAAGTTGTGGCTGCTAACCTGTGATGGGAGATTGCTGCTTTGGGACAATTGTAATCATGTCTTGGCCCTACACATGGCAGGATGACAGTTGACTCAAACGAAAATAGCCCACGAAAAGCAATTCCAGGTCCTGTTCAAATAAAGTACGCGACCACACCCTGTTCATCTCGGGGATATGGAATGTGGTATGCGCGCTGCCGCGACAGTGCCGCGATTTAGATCTTTTGATCTACTCCTCTACCCTGACGACGTCAAGTTAACGACTTTCTTTTCAGCGAAATCTCATCAGCCGCAATTCCTTAGCGAAGAAGGTGTTGTGGTGAACAACTTTGACCTTAACGAGCAGGGAGCTGTGCGTTTACTCCGCTTGCTCACCGTAATCGAACACCTCCGGCCGGAAATTAGTTCTGCACCGGTGAGAAGATCGTTCTAGCAATTTTCATCAAGCCAGTGTTTATTAAACTGTTCACATTCTCAGATGCTTTATCCGCTATGTGCTCTTATGCTGCATTATCTAGAAGACGAAGACGTATTCGCTTGCGTACAGCATTTACTCGTATCAAAGGTATGTTATTTACATATCTGGCGCACGAATTTCCCGCCTACTTCTTGGTAACGTTCAAACTTCGCGATGACGCGCGTCTACGCGCTACCATTGCAACGCTTCGAGAGGGTATGCAGGAATAGGAGGGTACGCGTTGTCTATTCGCACTGTCTGCTATCGATCGACCCTGGCCGGTGGTTTTTTGGAAGAGCGTAGAACAGGATAGTAACAGAAAGTGTGATAGACATAACGTACATTCCTATCCTCCCACACTCCTCCAGAGTATAAGCGACTGGCGCCGATCGATGCACGTCTGTGATTGCGTTACCTTATATACACTGGAGCGCTGTCGACGCGTTATCGCTGCAATGGTGGCGCGTCTGCACACGTCATCGCGAAGTCTAAACGCTGCATGAGATTGTGGAAAGTATAACGTACCAAAGTTTGACGTCGTTTTAGGGTTATCTTATGACGTCACCTGTGCAATGGTCTGCTTCGTCTCACACAATCCTATCCCTCGTTAAGAAACACAAACCACATGCATATGCAATGTTGAAGCGGCGAATAGGCACGGCAGACGACTCGATACTAGTCAAAGCGGTTTGTAATTACTAATGCATTCAGTATATAGTTGTCATTTTGTCCGCAATAAATGAAAAAGGCGCGTTGTCATGCATCAGCAAACTAACCTGTGATGGCCACAACTAATAAGCCTCATGTCTCCTTTCCTGAGGGGGATTGTACTGGGGTTTAGTTCAGAAAATCCACGTTGCGACGACACAACCAAACCAGTTCTAGGCCACTTAGGCAGATATTGCAGAATAGCATGCTCCAGTACAACTTCCAAATGCGAAATAATGTTGACAATTCCAGTATCCGACTCCATATCACCTGTTTTCTTTGGAGAAGGGGGTTGGGGAGACGTATCAAGCAGAGACTTAGCGCAACGCATGGCATGCCTTGGTTCGAAACAGCCGTTGCCAGCAGGGTCTTCAGACCAGGACCTAACTCATTCAACGTGGTAATGCCGCAGTGCGTGTAGTCGTTTAACCAGGGCAATTTGTGCGCGATGCCACGCGTCGGATTTAATGAACTCCATCAGCGGTAGACTATTTCGTAGTTAGTCGAATGGATGCACTACAGCGTCACCATGTTGAACCAGTTGGGTCTTGGTGTGAATGCCGCGTAAGCGTTTGGAAGATGGCGTCACGAAAGGCGATGAGCGAGAGATTGTTGGAGAAGGAGACGCGAGTTCCGACCTGAAACGTACTGGGTATATGCTTCTACGTCATAACGAAGGCCTCTTCTGAATCTGACCACTCGTCATCTGACTGGCCATCGGCGCGCGTTGCGTCGATCATGCGCAAGTACGCATCCCACGGAGCAATCCTGGGATGGACGGAAGGTAAACACCTACGCTTCCGGCAAGCCGAAGTCGATCGATCGCCAGTCTAGGAAAGAAGGCCTTGTTGTTGCACCTGAAGGGAACTCCTGTAAAAGATCTACCATCACCAGCTACTGAAGAGGAAACACCTAAAGTTCGCTTGATAGCTCGAGTGCCACGTAGCACATCGGAAGACGAGACGGACACCTCTAAACCAAGGAAAGATCATGAAACATCTGGACTGTTCTCATTCTGGAAGTCGGGTGGACGAAAACAGCGTGGGGACTCGCAGGAGGGCCCTGAATATCATCCTAGCAGTGCAAAATATTCCGGTCCATCAGAGGACGTGATGCGCCAAAGAGATATATCGAGCAGATTCAATTCATGAGGGAGCCTGCCCCTGTGAGCTAATAAACGGGCGCGCGACATCACTTCGAACAACCGATCACGCGCGTTAGCTCGTTTGGAAGATGGCGTGCCACGAAGGGCGATTGAAGAAGAGTTGTTGAGAGGGACCGAGTTCGGCCTGAAACCTATGGTATAGCTCTACGTCATACGAAGGCCCTCTCGAATCCACCACTCGTCATTCTGAACTGCCATCGGCGCCGTTGCGTGATCATGCGAAGGCATACCATCACGGACAATCCTGGGATGTGACGAAGGTAAAAACTGCCCGAAGTCGATCAATGGCACAGGAAAGAAGGCTGTTTTGCACCTGAAGGGAACTCCTGTAAAAGATCTACCATCACCAGCCACTGAAGAGGAAACACCTAAAGTTCGCTTGATAGCTCGAGTGCCACGTAGCACATCGGAAGACGAGACGGACACCTCTAAACCAAGGAAAGATCATGAAACATCTGGACTGTTCTCATTCTGGAAGTCGGGTGGACGAAAACAGCGTGGGGACTCGCAGGAGGGCCCTGAATATCATCCTAGCAGTGCAAAATATTCCGGTCCATCAGGAGGACGTGAATCGCCAAAGAGATATCGAGCAGATTCCATTCAAGGCACCTGCCCCTGTGAGCTATAAACCAGCGGCGACCATCACTTCGGAACCAACTCAACACCGCGCGTACTCCTTTGGAAGATGGCGCCACGAAGGCGATGAAGAGATTGTTGAGAAGGACCGAGTTCGGCCTGAAACCTATGGTATAGCTTCTACGTCATACGAAGGCCCTCTCGAATCCACCACTCGTCATTCTGAACTGCCATCGGCGCCGTTGCGTGATCATGCGAAGGCATACCATCACGGACAATCCTGGGATGCGAAGGTAAAAACACCCACTGCTCCGGCAGCCGAAGTCGATCATGGCACAGGAAAGAAGGCTGTTTTGCACCTGAAGGGAACTCCTGTAAAAGATCTACCATCACCAGCCACTGAAGAGGAAACACCTAAAGTTCGCTTGATAGCTCGAGTGCCACGTAGCACATCGGAAGACGAGACGGACACCTCTAAACCAAGGAAAGATCATGAAACATCTGGACTGTTCTCATTCTGGAAGTCGGGTGGACGAAAACAGCGTGGGGACTCGCAGGAGGGCCCTGAATATCATCCTAGCAGTGCAAAATATTCCGGTCCATCAGAGGACGTGAATCGCCAAAGAGATATCGAGCAGATTCCATTCAAAGCACCTGCCCCTGTGAGCTATAAACCAGCGGCGACCATCACTTCGGAACCAACTCAACACCGCGCGTACTCCTTTGGAAGATGGCGCCACGAAGGCGATGAAGAGATTGTTGAGAAGGACCGAGTTCGGCCTGAAACCTATGGTATAGCTTCTACGTCATACGAAGGCCCTCTCGAATCCACCACTCGTCATTCTGAACTGCCATCGGCGCCGTTGCGTGATCATGCGAAGGCATACCATCACGGACAATCCTGGGATGCGAAGGTAAACGCCTGCCCGGAAAGTCCGATCATGGCAGCAGGAAAGAGCGTGTTTGCACCTGAAGGGAACTCCTGTAAAAGATCTACCATCACCAGCCACTGAAGAGGAAACACCTAAAGTTCGCTTGATAGCTCGAGTGCCACGTAGCACATCGGAAGACGAGACAGACACCTCTAAACCAAGGAAGATCATGAAACATCTGGACTGTTCTCATTCTGGAAGTCGGGTGGACGAAAACAGCGTGGGGACTCGCAGGAGGGCCCTGAATATCATCCCAGCAGTGCAAAATATTCCGGTCCATTGGAGCATGTGAATCGCCAAAAGAGATATCGAGCAGATTCCATTCAAGGCACCTGCCCCTGTGAGCTATAAACCAGCGGCGACCATCACTTCGGAACCAACTCAACACCGCGCGTACTCCTTTGGAAGATGGCGCCACGAAGGCGATGAAGAGATTGTTGAGAAGGACCGAGTTCGGCCTGAAACCTATGGTATAGCTTCTACGTCATACGAAGGCCCTCTCGAATCTACCACTCGTCATTCTGAACTGCCATCGGCACCGTTGCGTGATCACGCGAAGGCATACCATCACGACATCCTGGGATGTGACGAAGGTAAAAACACCCACTGCTCCGGCAGCCGAAGTCGATCATGGCACAGGAAAGAAGGCTGTTTTGCACCTGAAGGGAACTCCTGTAAAAGATCTACCATCACCAGCCACTGAAGAGGAAACACCTAAAGTTCGCTTGATAGCTCGAGTGCCACGTAGCACATCGGAAGACGAGACGGACACCTCTAAACCAAGGAAAGATCATGAAACATCTGGACTGTTCTCATTCTGGAAGTCGGGTGGACGAAAACAGCGTGGGGACTCGCAGGAGGGCCCTGAATATCATCCTAGCACTGGAAAGTATTCTGGTCCCGTTAGAGGACGTGAATCGCCAAAGAGATATCGAGCAGATTCCATTCAAGGCACCTGCCCCTGTGAGCTATAAACCAGCGGCGACCATCACTTCGGAACCAACTCAACACCGCGCGTACTCCTTTGGAAGATGGCGCCACGAAGGCGATGAAGAGATTGTTGAGAAGGACCGAGTTCGGCCTGAAACCTATGGTATAGCTTCTACGTCATACGAAGGCCCTCTCGAATCCACCACTCGTCATTCTGAACTGCCATCGGCGCCGTTGCGTGATCATGCGAAGGCATACCATCACGGACAATCCTGGGATGCGAAGGTAAAAACACCCACTGCTCCGGCAGCCGAAGTCGATCATGGCACAGGAAAGAAGGCTGTTTTGCACCTGAAGGGAACTCCTGTAAAAGATCTACCATCACCAGCCACTGAAGAGGAAACACCTAAAGTTCGCTTGATAGCTCGAGTGCCACGTAGCACATCGGAAGAGGAAACAGATGGTTCTAAACTAAGAAAAGACAAGGAAACATCTGGTCTGTTCTCATTATTCAAATCGGGTACACGAAAACAGCGTGGGGACTCTCAAGAAGGTTCCGATTCTTCTGATCCCGGGAAACACGGCGTACCAAAGGAATCAGTCAAGGAATGCAAGGCGGAATCGAGCAAGTTGTATTGCTACGTTCGTCTTCACAGGGATTGCATGATGCGAAAAGTTTCTACTGGTGATCCTGAATCCATTGGTTCCCGCACATATGTTTTTGGACGGTGGCGACATGATGCTAAAAGTGAAGGTCGTGAAAAGGATCCGAATCAACCAGGAACTTATGGTGTATCTTCCGCCTCTTACGAGAATCCCCATGAGTCTACGACTAGCCAATTTCAGGTTAAGGTGACTGGGAGAGTAAGGGGAAGCGAAACCATTTCTCATAATCTCGTTGAAGATCAAAAAACTCAGCTTCGTTTTTTTTCCTGAACGTGGCTCGCTTTCAGAAGGCTTGAACCTACTGGAGATGAAGAATCTGCTGGATTACGTTCAGGAAAGGATCTTCCTCAACGTGACTCGTCTGAAGAATCAGAACGTTTAATAGCTGTTGCAAGTAGTCATACAGGTCGTCTTGAAGGGAGAACATTGCAAGGAGATGAATGGGTGGAAGTTCGTGTAGATCGACGTGCCGAGGTTCAACTTGAACCCGTGTTTTGCTTGACAGGGGCGGTTACGCGATTCTCTCGAGGACGGAGGCTGGCGATGATCTTGCTCTGTTACGACCACGCCAAATGCAGTCGTCTAGTCGTTTCGCTTCTCTCAGTCTCGACGTATCGGTCTCACAGGTCGGCTTATTGTCTTTGGCCCAGCACAATTAGGACGTCATCACGCAGCCGAGTTTCTAGTGTCTTCACTGCGCTATAGCTGCTTGCTTTTGTACGCATTTCAGTTCATTATTGTGTTGTGCTGTTGTTTTACCCTCTAATACATGCTAGCATCGCTCACAATAAACGATTTAGTTGGATGAGTTATGTTCAGCGTGAAGGCAAGCTTCATCTTCACCTATGTTGCTAGCTTAGAACATTGTGATGTGATGTTTTTTCTTCTTCTGGCACATGACCCTAATTGTGAATGTGCGGTGCCCTTAGTGTCAGTGGTGATTGATACAGTGGAAAACGGCTCAAACCTTCACTTTTCGTTCTTGCCTTTGCAAGGAACGTCATTTTGGTGAAGTTATGGTGAATCATATGGTAGGAGCCGTTTTCCATTTGTGTCAGAGATGTGTTTTCTCAACGAATCCGTTTAAATTATTCAAACTTTTCATTACAGAGTTCATCACAAAAGCCAAAGAAACAGAAGAAAGGCAAGAAAGAATCCGACTCAAGTGATTCTTCTAGTAGTTCGGAAGATGAGAAAAATCAGATCCAAGTTATACCAGTCGAGGTTTGTATGAACTTTTTTTCCACATTTTTAGACGTATTTAGGTCCTTAATTTCATAGTTACATCTTGCTAATGATTTGTAGTTGGACCGTACTGCCCACTAGAGCAGTCTTACGCTGTCGAATTTTCTGCTGTACTGTTTGCCTAGCGCTTAACACTTGACGCTCTATGAAGTCACTGCAGGCGCTCGTATTTGCAGGGCACTAGAAGTTGTTTACTGAGTATTGACAAAGTCGGTATATGTAACTGGAACAATTGATTAGTTTTTTATGTCCACCTGCTTAGGCCCCGAGCAGACTTCGTTTAATTAGCCGAAAATGTTTCCAGTGGTCTTCCCCCTGTTATTGTTGTACTCTTAATACTTTGATTGTAATGTGGAGTGATTCAGGTGTAGATGTTCTCAGCGCCAGCGGTAGTTTGGGGTAGGAGGAGGCATTTTCTCTTTTGTACCCTCTGTTGGAGCAGGCGGGGGTGGGGAACACTCGTAACTGTTGTATCCATTCCCCAAAATGCCTAGGCTCAGAGCCTATACGACCAAAGACGCCGAGGTATAGTCCCGCAAAAAAGACAGTCTCCGCTGATCCTGGTCTTTCAACAACTAGAACTCAATCCTTTGAATGAATCAACTTTCTATTTTCTTTGCGTTCTCACGTCTGTACGACACTCCGTGACCACTGTGACCTGACAAAGTTCAACTTTCCACGCGTGGTTAGTTTCTCCATTCACATCGCGAATTCCTCCTCTGAAGAAGCTCATCCTCAGGATCGGTGACATGTTCTTACAGCGCTTTCGATGGTCTGGGCAGCCGCAGGGTTGCGTGACAACTAAAACTTTTTGGCGGGGTCCTGCTGCGAACGGCCAGAGCGCAGACAAATAAAAAAATACTGCCGTCAAGGTATGAAGAGGTACAAAAAACATATCGCCGAGCCACGGGATAGGCTTTTTTCGAATGGAGAGGATACCGGGGTGGGCGACCCACTCACTATGGATGAAAAGTTGGATATATGAATAGGTCAGTGGTGCTGTCAACAGAACGCCATGCAACGTGAGACGCAGAGGAAAACAAGAAAGTTGCGCATTAGTGGGCCTGTGTTTTAGTCATCGTATACCGCCGCGCGTGCTTTGTTCTGCTGCATCTGCCTTTCGCGCCGGACCCGCACTGAAACTTCCAGTTGTCACGTAACCCCACTAAGCATGAGCCTTTTTAGGGGAAGGGAAGTAGAGGCGGTGGTGATTGTTTCCAACTAGAGCCGATTTTTTAAATCATGGCGAAAGCGTAAAAGGTTATTGCCACGACCATTAACTGGTTACGGTGATCCTAAAATCAGTGTAATGTGAAGTTTTAGAATAATAGAAATAATAGAATTTTCGAGAAAGCAGAGAGTTAGTAGTGGGGGGAATCAGGAAATGCTAGCTCTGAGGGCTGGGTGTACTATGGTTTTGGTGGGCCAGGTTCCATCCTAATGTGTTTTGGTACTCACCTCTTCTTTTCTTTTTTTTTCCTCTTTTTTTTCAGCGGGAATTTCCCCTAAGATTTTTCTATAGCCTTTGCGAAGTTCTATTAGTCTTGTCGTTTTTTTTTCATTTTTCTTACTTGCAC